GACACTAGCAGGGATATGAGAGTATAAGGGCTCTATTGGGGGGAGGGAGGCTATGGAAGGGTGTTATATAGTAAGTGGGCATAAAAATAAATTTTGTAAGTTAAAAAATAATAATTCTTCAAAGCATAAAAATTTGCTCCTTAATAACTAGTAGACGTGAAAAACATTACCACTGAAATCTACCTGATGACTTTATATCCATGCTCAGATGCCAAGGATCTCAGAAAGTAACCAACTGTGACTAGTAATAATCAGGTATCTAGAGATTAGAAACACATGTGCAAACATTGTGTTAATTGCATTAAAAATAAAGTTTTCTGTATGAAACTGTGTATTTTAATAATGAAGTGGAGATCTTTTGTAAAGGTTAAAACCTCATTCAATTTTATGTCTTATAGGGTTTATACTGAGTACAATATTGTATAACTGTATTAATTCAACTGTAAACCTAAAACTTTACAGCCAATTTTGAAAGAGATGCATCTTAGCTATGGAAATTGATATTGAATATGTTAATGTTGTTGTAATGAAATGCTTCTAATTATGTGGTTATTAAATAATTTTAAAAAAGATGTGTGTGCTATCATGATCAGCTAATACTGTATCTTTTCATTAAAAAAAAAAAAAAAAAAAAGCCAGGTTCTGGCATGTTTAATTTTACAACATCACTTTGAGATAGTGGTACTGTCCATGTCCATTTTACAGACTAAGCAATCAACACACTGGTTAATGAAGTTTGAATGACTTACTCTAGGTAGTACATGCTGATGGAACTAGAATTAAAAAAAAGAATATAGCCAATATTCAAAAAGATTAAAACTGGACAGAAAGCTCTTTCAGAAAACAGAAAATGGCATTTAATCTTTACTTCTGAGTGCCAGGAACTGGTAATTAAAGATTTTTATCACCCAACAATGAAAGATTTTTATCACCCCAAAAAACAAAAAAATTATCTTCTGCAGCATAAATGCCCTTAGGCAAAAATGAGTCTCATCTTTTTCAGTTTAATGCAATAAACAATGTGATGAAAACAGTCACCTGTTTTGAGAGGGGTACTTCACTGCACCACCTGTTGTTTCCCAGGTCCCACAGCCAGTTAGTTGGCGTAGGGACCAGCATTCTACATTCTAGCTCTAACCTCTGAGTCTATGAAAGATCTTTTAGGAGAATGGGAGGCAAGGGGAAGATGACAATTTAGTTACATTTGGATATAAACTTCAATGCATTTTCATTACACTTTTAGCTGTTTCAAATGATTAAAAATTAAGCCAACTTATATTTGTACTTCTTAAAAATCTGCCTTTTTTGGATCTCTATGAATTCGAGGCCAGCCTGGTCTCCATAGCAAATTGAGGCTAGCTCCACAGCAAATTGGCTACAGGGAGACACTGTCGCACCCCCCCACACAATCTGCCTCTTTAGGATATGCATGTAATTTGCATTCAGAGGACAGAAATATCTTCTACAACATTACACTTATAAAGACTGTTTTCTGCAGTATCTCATCCAAGACATTTATATCCTATTAATAAAGTGCATATACATGTGTAAAATATTTATGGGTTGCTTTCATTTTGGAAATAAGGCAACACTTTATTCACTTATATTCATTTCGCTGTTTTTTGTTTTTGATACATAAAAGGAATTAAATCATACTCATCATAAGATAATTATGTCCTTTAAAAATATAATGTCCTTTCATAAAAATATTTAAAAAACAAAAACCAAAAAGATTTATTGTTCTTACCTGAGGCTGCTGTGGCATTTGTAGGGGTTGAAGCAGTTGCTTGAATCCGAGCATGAGGAGGAATAAGGATGGTGGCCAGAGGTGGATTACTCGAGAGCTCTAGAGAAGAGGAAACACAAAGATTAGAGCTCACTCTTCATTCTATATGTGCAACTCTCTTACTGGAAAAAAAGATATCACACTATATGAAAACACCAGCTTATAAACTAAATCAATGAGCTAGTAATCAAGTTATAGAAGACGCTCAGAGAAATGTGACACAAAACAGCATTATATGCTAAGAAGTGTTATGCTTAAGAACTAAATGTATCTTGTGAAAGATAGTAGCCAAAAGTCTGAAAGTAAGCATATATGCCTTTCACTCTTACTGCCCAAAATATACTATCTCACTTTGCAGTACTCGATTACAGGAACTGAATTGATGAAGTCTGTGTGTGTCTCCACGGCACTTACAAGTAGGTGTAGAGACCAACCTACCCACCCCATTGTTTAAAATCCAAACATTAACGAAAGTAAGACTTAAGAAACATTAGATTAGGGCTGGAGAAATGGCTCATTATTTATGAGTACTGGCTGCTCTTGCTTACGACCTGGGTTCGATTCCCAGCACCCACATGGTGGCTAACAACCGTCTATAACTCCAGTTCCAGGGGATCCGATGCTCTCTTCTGACTTCTGAGGGCCTTGTAAAACATGGGTGCACTTATATACATGCAGACAATACACTCAATACAGATAAAAAAAAAATTAAAGTATATAAAAAGTAAATTTAAGTTTAAAAAAAGAAACATTAAAAATCTATTTGTATTTATTGAAAATAATATATTCACCCTATTTTACATTTCATACTTTGAAGAGATTATTTTACCTAAATGGGAGGTTATTTCTGCCAACTTTTTAAAAGATTTATTTTTATTTTATGTATATGAGTAGGAGTATTTCCCTGCATGGATGTGGGTGTCCCATGAGCATGCCTGGTGCCTGTGAAGGACAGGAAGAGGGCATTGGATACCCTGGAACTGCCTGGATGGTTGTGAGGCAGCATGTGCTAGGAACCAAACTTGGGTCCTCCACAAGAGCAGCAAGTGCTTTTAACAACGAAGCCATCTCTCCAGCATCTATTTCTGTCAACTTTATATGGACAAGCCTCCTTTAAAAAGTCAAGTTCTATTATTTGTCATAAATTATTTTTAGGATGATCCTGAAACTAATGACAGAGACTCTCTATTTAGACATAGTAAATAGTGCTGGTGAGCTTGCATATCTAAGTACCTGGGTTAGCTTCAAGAAATATAACTGTTCTTCTAGTTTGCTGGGAGAACCCTGGCCTGTGTTTGGTGCTCTAGCATTTAATCTGCAAATTGTATTTCATTCTCCCAACTGTCATGGTTTGAAATATTTATATGATCATACCAGCTGTAGGAAGACATTATTCTCTGAGCTATAGTATACATCTTAACAATTTACATGTGTGGCATGAACTAAAAAGTTGAGAAAGTGTTTCACCCTAAAGGAAAACGTAAACCCATTCAGCACAGTTGTCCCTATTAAACTCTTCCTCCAAGCCTCTAGAAAGTAAAGTAAGCTTTTTTTTTTTTTTTTTTTTTCGGTCTTTTTGAGACAGGGTCTCCCTGCAGCCCCAGCTCTCCTGGAACTCACTATGTAGACCAGGCTTGCCTTGAACTCACAGAAATCCCCCTGCCTCTGCCTCCCGAGTGCTGGGATTAAAGGTGGGTACCACCACGCCTGGCACAAAGCAGGCATTTTAATACAGTAGTTTAAAAATGTTTGGGGGTATAAAGCCTTTGGCAATATTTAGTTATAGCTTGGTACCTAAATATTAATTTTGTATTAAATAAGATTCTAAATAAGACTATATTCTAGCAAAGAAAAGCAACAGATGCCAAGATTTTAAAAAATGAATGGGGAGAAAAGCTTAAAAATGGAGAAAAGACATATTTTTTCCATAAATGAGAAATTTTAGTCCAGCTCATCATATGGAAATTTTTCTTTGAGAAACCATACCCTAATTATGAGGTCCTAAAAGATGCTGTTTTTTCATAATCAGACTAAGTGTCTGTTTTGATTCTCACTAAGGGACAGGAAGATTCTACATTAATTTACCTTAAGCCAGTCAATTTACCCTACAATACTTTACCTAGGGTAGCAAAAGAATTTCTGGTAACTGCCATGGCTGCTGAGTTCATGATTCTAGGAATATTAAAAAAATTAGTGCAGTATGTGATCGTTGTTCTTCATTAAGGAATTTAGACTTACCATCCCAAGTAAAATCTCCTAAAATAGGCATTTTTAAGGAAAAATTATTTATTTCTTTGTTTTTTGAGATACTAAATTTTATTGATGTGGCAATTAGAAAAAGTCTAAAAATGCACTGGGGTAGGCAATAATGGAAGAGTGAGAAACACTTTTCAGAATTTCCTGCCTCTCCTGCTGACCACGCCAAAGGGAAAAGTCACACCTTTCCTCAGCCTCTTCTGAACACACCTGTGGGGCCCTCTCTCTGTCACTGCTTTTTCTCTTTCTTACCACCTGACTACCATCTTCTCCCTGGCTGCTGTACTCCATATTGTCCTTTCTTTTAGTTATTTTATGTGTATGACTGTTTTGCCTGCATGTAGGAAGGTGTACCCCTGTGAACAATACCCACGAAGGTCAAAAGAAGGCATTGGATCCCCTGGAACTGGAGTTAGTCACTATGTGGATGCTTGGGAACCAAATCCGAGTCTCTTAACTGCTGAGCCATCTCTCTGGCCCTGTTATCTTGTCCCTTTTCAATCCTTTGTCTGTGATGGTCCCAGAATGATCTCAGAAGACACCTTAATGTTGGCTTCTACTCAGAACCTTCTTTTTTAAAAAAAAACTGTTTTGTTGAATTTTTATGATTTTCTTTTTTTTAAATATTTTTCATTATTTTTATTTTATGTATATGAGTGTATTGCCTGCATGTATGAGAGCGCACCCGTGTTGTGCAATGCCTTGGAGGTAAGAAGAGGGTTTCAGATTCCCCTGGAACTGGAGTTAAGGAAGGTTCATAGCCACCATGTGGGTGCTGGGAATCAAACCCGGGTCCTCTGTCAATGCTCTTAACCGCTGAACCATCTCTCCAGCCCCATCAGAAACTTCTTGACAGCTTCACTTTTATTTTAAGATCCACCCACCCACATACTTATCCAGCTAGTAATACTGGGCATGAAACTGTATGTTAGGCCTCAAGATAAAGCAATGGAAAGATAACTGCCTTAGTTGAAATAACAGAAGATAGAAGGCTATCTAAGGTAGCTAAGAAAGGGGATCAATCTACTAAGGATGAAACACTGTGGCTGGGGATGGAGAGATGGCTCAGCGGTTAAGAGCACTGACTGCTCTTGCAGAGGACCCAGGTTCCATTCCCAGCACCCACAAGGGGGCTACGAACCATCCTTATCTCCAGTTTTCCAGGGGAATCTGAGGCCCTCTCTGACCTCCGTGGCATTGCACGACACGGATGTACTCACATACATTCAGGCAATACACTCATACACATAAAATAAAAATAATATTTTTTTTAAAAAAAAGATTATCTTAGCAATAGCTTTGCCACAGTGTTTTTTGTTTGTTTTTTAATGTGAGTGTGTTGCCTGCATGTATGTGAGTGCACCCGTGTCGTGCAATGCCTCGGAGGACAGAAGAGGGCATCAGATCCCCTGGAACTGGAGTTACAGATGACTCAGCTCCCATGTAGGTGCTGGGAACTGAACTTGGGTCCTCTCCAAGAGCAGCCAGTGCCCTCTTCACCAGGCCCTCAGCTACCTTTTTATACAGTTCAGGCCCACCTGCCTAGATTTGGCATCACCCACAGTAAGCTGGGCCATATCACATCAGCCAGTAAGAAAATGCCTCACAGACATGGTCACAGGCCAATCTGATCTGGGAAATTCTTTCTTTCTTTATTTTTTTAACTTTATTTAAAGTAGTTTTTTATTGATTTCATTGAAAACAGAACAAGAAATGGTCTGAGCCAAAAGATTGCTCTTAAAACTGTCAAAAACATTTTAACAGAAAAAAATAAACATGACTGCATTATGAATGTTTTAGAAGAGTCACACAAAAAACCCACTGTCGCTGCACTAATTACAGTATTTAGAAAGGTATATGCCAAAAAAAAGTACATGACCTGCCAGGCCATCACACAAAAGGTGATGGCAAGTTTATTCACACTACAAGACTAACATTTTAAAAAAGATTTCTTGTGTTTTATTCTAAAATCACTTTGTTCTCTTTTTACAGTTGATAGTTTATTTTCACGTGTTGAGTAGAAACCACACTAGATTCAGCGTTGTCTATGTTTTGTGGTTTTATTCTTTGTCCTAATGTTCAGTAATGGTAGAAAACAAACCAGTTTATTCATCATCATAGCATGTGGCTTAGAAACCAAGAGAGGGTGCCTGCTGCATCAACAGAACTGGCTGGGGCTGATGCAGGGTCTGCCTGCATCCACCAATCTGCTTCCTCACAAAGAAACCCAGAAACCCAGTAAGGACCTTGATATATAGGACTAGATATAAGATTTCTTTAAAAAGCAAACCCACATTTTCATCAAAGCAAATGGCAGGTGGGTGACCTCTCCGGTGCCATGAGGGAGCCAGCATCCACCAGCGAGACCTGGGAGCCAGTGCCAGCACACAGGCTATGGGTAGCAGGTCTAAAGGAGCAGCTTGTAGGTGATGGTGGCCTTGGTGAGTGCCACATAGGAGACTGGCCAGACAGTACACAGACAAACCTGGCAGTGGAGCAAAAAGGTCTCAGAGACCAGGAGAAATGGGAAGCACTGCAGCGACAGCTACCTAATTTGGGAAATTCTTTAGCTGCTGTTAACCTCTTCTCTTTTGTCGTGTTGACAAAAACTAACCACCACAACTCCCAACTCCTCCCTCTAACAATGGACCTTGGATACTCTAGCTATTCAACCAAGTGGTGGATATGTCTCATCCTTCAACCTTGAATTATAGTTTTATTAGGATCATTCATGAAATTAATAATTACTGTTAAATAGGTTTAAAGCAGCATTTGCACAACATTTTTTATTTAGAAAACAAGAT